ACTATATATCTAAACAAATGAACCAAAATCAAGCTTCTGTGATTTCAGCCATATGAACAGATATTTATACTTAAATTCTGTTTTAGTGAGTAAGGTTCTTCAAAGCTAAACGAAGATGCCTGATCAGTCTGAATCCCTAAATGTGGATTTTTCATCACTGAAGACATTATTTGTAGAAAACCTTGAAATATGTTTCTAGGATATCTGTCTTCCAGCAAAGACAGTTTTCTTGTGACACTGATAGAGATTTCAACATACCAAAATTTGTTAATGTATTGTTGCTCATCTTATGTTCCAGTGGCCTGAGTGTATGTTCATTTTGGAGCCAAAATTCGAAGTTCAGTGAGTAGGTTTAGTGTATGCAAGCACTGAGAACAGTGCTAATCAACTTAGAGTCAGAATACATATAGAATTTTATACTTTACAGTCTTTGTTAATTACTGCTAAAATAATGTTTGGAAAAGCAGTTATTAATCTTTTGAGGATTTGTGAATGATGAAAAATGCACAAACTGTATCTGTCTATATAACTAGTACAAAAGCCTGATACCTAAATTCTTTTCCCAAAATGTAAGGGTAATTCTTGGATTTTCTGATCAGTAATTATTTAAATATCCTTTCAATTTAAAATCCTTTGGAGATTAAGTAGTAATGACAAGTGGTAAATAGTTGTATATTGTGAAGTCATTACCACACAATTGTGTGATAATCTCTCAGAAAATATCAAGAATTTTTTCACCTATTGGACATCCAGCCAGTGTTTCATTATAGTCAAATGTGGCACAACCAATTATTGATCTTATTTGTGAAAATTCACACACCAAAATATGCTTTAATTTTATAAGGTTCCTACTACTTTGAGTGTACTTGCTTGCTTGCTGTTAATTATTGAGGCGTTCTTTCAAATGAAGTGTCAGGGTTACGTCACTCACCTGTTGGTAACAACACAAACTGTTGCCTATAATCACAGTTTTCCTAAACTTGGGGGGAATATCTGAATTCATCTTTAAATTCTCTGCTGTCATATGGGAGATGTATGCAACTCACTGGGGCTTTGTCCCAGTGCTAGCAGTTGTTTGTAAGAACTTTTTTAGGTAATGAAATCCATTTTAGGATTTGATGTATTAGCTCTTTAATTAACTGTTTTAAAACAAAATCAGTGATGGGATTAGATTACTAGAAAGTAAAAGTACAGAAGCCAGATATAAGCCTCTGCCAAAAGATAGGCCTAATGTCTCTTGGAAGAGACATAGTCTTAAAATACCTTCTTTTCAATCCAGTGTATAAATCAGTATTAAAATTATGTTGATGTATTGATCTGAATACAAATGCAAATAAATGGAGCCCATGTGATTCAAGAGCTTAGTGTATTTGTACAGGTGCTAGTTGGATCTCATTGTAGATCTTTAACGTGAGACTCTTATTTTCCTGTTAAATTTTGAGACAGTTACTGTGTCAAAAGTTGAGGCCATTCTAAGAACATTTTCAATTTTTTCACTTTTCTGTACTTAATTCAGTGCAAGGACTGAAAATGTAAAGATTATTACTTAAATTTTGTGAGCTTTTTAATTTCTTTAGAAACTGACAACATAAAAATGGGAGGACATATCTCTGGATGTTAGAAAAAATTTGACAGGAAATCAGAGAACTAGAAATTAGACCAGAGTAGAGAAGAGAGGGGTTTTTTCCTAATACAGAATCCAGATGAACCAAGATTGATTTGATTATTAGTAGTAATAATATAATTGCAGTACATTAAGAACTCAATCCAGTAGAAACACACAGTATTAATTTCTGTCTGTAAGTGTGAGTATAGCGACTGTACATGTATTTGTGTTGATAGAATTCCATGCTTTATACCCAGACACGGGAGATGATGTGTTTATTTGTAAATAAGTATTTACAAATGCACACAAATAATTACTCAAAGCTGTGTAGATTGTGCAAATAAATTAGTAGGACAAAACAATCTTTTTCTATAATTGCCCTTCCCAAAAGCTGGTTAAACAAATATGTATAGTTTCCCATTTTTTTTGAAACTACACGTTGCTCGAGCCCTAATATTGAAAGTTTGCTCTTAAAAGAAAATGTCTCTCTAAAGCAGCAAGCACAAAGTAAGAGATAGAATGGATGCCTAGCCCAGCCTGCACAACAGGCTTGCTACCATGTTGTTAGAATAATTACATTTTGGCTGAACTAACTAATTAAGAGGAGCTGCAAAACATCTAGCAAGACTGAAAACTTTTCAGGACTGGGTTGGGGTTTGGGTTTTTTTTTACTTTTGAGTGTAATTTAAAACAATACCTCTTCTAGCTGCCAACAAACTCTTTC